CCCCCCCAGCTGTTAAGTGGTACAGAAGCATCGCTGAAGATCTTAAAGTGGGCTAGTCCCCCAGTAAAGTTCGATCCCCCTTCTCCCATTTCGAACAGCTCGACCTGTTGGGAGCAACATCTAGGGTCACCTTAGTTGGGGCGGGGGAGGGGGGCTGTTTACAATAATGTTGCAGCTACAGTAGAGTCCGCTCTAACCGTGCACGTTTAATCCAAAAACAACGGTAAACCGATAGAAAGTAAAATCCCCATTTTTTTGTTTTCTTCTATATCAGCAACTTCTTTTAGCCGAAAACCCGGATAAACCGAAGAAAATCCAGTGGTACTGCAAGTTTTTGTTTAAGCGGACTTCACTGTGCGCGTTACGGGAATACAAATCTGCAGGCTGTCATCCTCGGGTTGTGTGAAAGTGGAAAGAGGGGTGGAGGGGGGTGGGTGGGTATACATTGCTTTGTGGATGGTTAGCGGAAGCTTGAGTGTGGTCAGCTCCTTCTTTGCTGTCAAACACCAATCGTCTGTATCTCCCCTCCGTCGCTTCTTCGCACGTTACCTCTAATCCTCGGCGGTTAGATGACCGACCTTTTTAGTGGGAATTGTGCCGTTAAATCCCTACTAAAACTAAAACATGCGTTGAGTCAAGACGCGGTGGAATCAAGCTCTTGTCAATTTTTGGGCATGTAGAGTTATTGGTATCATCTTAAAGAATGTTCATTTTTCTTGCTTTGAATAAAAAAATTTCCATTTAACTTGATTACAAGTCGAGATATTATTTGTGAATGAAAGAAGTGGAGATCTTTTGGTTTCAGAAGTAAAATTAGCGGAAAATATCCCGCCAAAAATTAGTTATTTCCTCATCTTGAGAGCACATGGAAACTGAAATTTTCTCTTTTTTCGTGTCTTTAAACGTTTTCCAGTGACATCCACACAGAAATGTGCTCTTAAATGAGCATGAAAGGTGTTGAGCCAAAAAACCAAAATTCGATAAAAATTCAAACCTGCAGGGAAATGCCAGTTTCTTCACTTTGATTATTTTGACGAGCGCCTAGTTTCACAATGCTGCCTCACCATTAATTTTACCAACCCATTCGGTTGTCCACTAACTGACCATAATTATGATTCCTCCACCAATCAAAAGATCAAATAAATGATAGATCATATGAATTCTCCACCAATCAAAAGATCATATCATGATTTCTCCTCCAATCAAAAGATCATATGATTTCTCCACCAATCACAGGACTGTACGGTTCCAGTGCTCTCGAGCAGCTGGCGATTGACCAGGTGGCGCTGGCAAGAGAAGACTTGACCCAGGCTGTGGGGAAATTCATGTCGGAGAAGGACGAAAAGAAAAAGGTCAGTTCGTATGGGTGTGTGTGTGTGTGTGTGTGTGTGTATGTG